TATATACATGTATTACATATATATAACACTATTTCCTGTACTTACTAACTTCTGTACGTTTTTTACTGCAGGCAACTGTCTTATAATCCGTTTACCGATATGCCGCATGACGTCTTCACAGCGCTTAAGAACATAGAGTCTCTGTGAGTGTGCCACATCGCTATGCTTGCGTTATCCATATGATTTAATAATGTAATTATGAAGGCTAACATTTTCCTCTGCTTAATCAATGGGACGTCCGTCATTTGAAGTGTTGACCCGGAAATCCTAGGTTTTATTATTGATTGTATGGTAATATACCAGATTGTATATACATAAATATACCACATAAATATACATAATATACCACATTCAATACACCACATTCAATTGTGGTATTTTCAACTAGTTGTATCGACTAATTGTATCGACTAGTTGTATGACCTAGAAAATCCAATATGTAAATATGTGTTATTGATTCAGAAACCTGACGGGCATTCGGCTGCGCAACATTAGCGAAGATATGTTTCGCAACTTGACACATCTTCATTTCGTGTACGTATTTACCAGTGTCGTCATACGTGAAATTTTTAATTAGACCTTCCATTTTACATTTCAAACGGAATTGTGCTTATCACGCGTACTTTAATAAAAAAAATAACGTTCGAATTTCGTTCCGAATCAATCTCCATTGTCGTTAAATAAAACGCACCGACGGATCATCTGTGTTTACTTCGACAATTTGCTTTGTTTTCCCCTGCCAGATATTTCAGGGACTTTCAGTATTGTTCTTACGTGCCGCACGCAAAGGTGTGTCGGCCACTCACCGACGGCATATCTACGTTCGAACAGCTATTAGCCAATCACGTGCTGCGTATCTGCGTGTGGGTGATGGCGTTGATTACGTGTCTTGGCAACCTTACGGTCGGACTAGGGAGGACGTTAATGCGTGGAGAGAACCGCATACATTCCCTCTTCATAAAGAACTTGTGTCGTACGTGTTGTTTTGCCGTTCGACCTAGCGCGCATATTTCGACTCCCATGCATATATAGTACTCGAACCCTAAATTAATCTGTTTATATGACGCAATACACTCTGACAGTTTATAGTATATGATTTAATTGGCGGTTTTATTGATATTTATAGTTACCATTGACATTAGAAAAGATCGATAGTATAGATAGATAATATAGATTAGAATAATATTATCAATTAAAGCTGAGATATTTTGCTGTGCGCCGCGATTATCCTCCGAATAACGCAAGCTTACTAATTATGTGTTAATGAATTCTGATTACAGTATCCGACTTCCTAATGGGGATCTACCTCTTCGTGATTGGCGCGCAGGATGTGAGATTTCGTGACGTGTACAGACAAAATTCACGAATGTGGATAGATAGCACCGGCTGTCAGGTATGTGTATGTAATATAGGCGGTGTTATACGCAGTCCCACGACGCATGCGGAGATTCCCCGAGTTATAAGCCTAACGAGTGTCCCACCGAGCGACGTTCACATGTTTAATTTAGTGTTTACGGTCATGTTCTACAAACCGCACGCCCCCGCGCATACGAATAAAACCACGCTTCGAAAGCAGATTGAGTTCCGGCTTGCGAAAAAATCAATTTGCTAGTGAAATTTTTGATTACTTTGCGTTCATACCTCCAACGATATCCCATATCGATATTGAATCAACAGAACTAACACCGAGTTGTCCATATTTCTGTTCGTTTATGCAGCGGTGTATTTATACATATAAACGATTTCCGCAACGTTGTCAGTGTGTCTAATAAAACCAACTTGACACGCCGTATAATATCGACTATCTGAAACGCCAAGTATGAGACGCAATTAGGGGTCTAGCGACTCATAAGTAATTTAAACCTCAAAGAAACCGTAATTTTCCCGCTTAAGATGCTGCATCTAAATATAACACATTTGTGGTTTATTTATTAAGTGCGATGAGATAGCGATTTCTTGTCTCATAAGACGCTTATATCGCAAATGCTATTTTTACCTCCGCCAGGGGCGTGGCGGAGGTTATGTTTTCACCGGCGTGCCATTGAGTGTTGGTTTGTGTGTGTGTGTGTTACCATGCACGTTTCAGTTCACTTCCGCTAGGTGCGCTGGCTGTAGACTTACAAACACAGGCTAAAGGGCAACCACAGTCCTCCCCTACCTGCACGCTCGCACTAATCCGGATCCAATTAATTAATTAATTAATTAATTAATTTTCCACTTAATTAATGAATTAATTAATAATAAAAATTCACATTGAGAGAATACAGCTGCCTTGGCGGAGGTCTGTGCTCTCCGAGTGCTCTAGTTTTAGTTATAGATTTCTTGCTTACGCTGCTTGCAGGCGGTGGCGAAGCAGCCCAACCTAGCCGACCTGTCCAACAACCACCTGGAGTATATCCCCGAGAACCTTTTTGTCAATGACAGGCTGTCGCGACTCAACCTGCGACACAACGCGCTCAAGGAAAGACCGATCGAGGAAGACATCTACACGATAGGTGATCACAAGAGAAATAATATACTAGTTATGCTAATATACTAATAAACTCATATACTATTAGACTAACATCGAAGGTCTCTCTATACATTTCTATGGTGATGACGTTCGTTGCTGCGCACGGTTGCTGCAGGGTGCGCTTACGTGTATGTTACGTGCATGCTAGAGCTGTCATGGCTGCGATGTGTGTGGCGATGTAAGTGAAGTGAGGGATGTCTGGAGTTTTACTCACTCCTATTGAGAACGTAGCTAGGGCCCTCGTGATTCACTCTACCCCCATCGACCCCCTTTGGGATCCCGCTGTGGCCCCTTTCCTCGGGCTATGTGCGTTTGCACGCTGGTTGCCCGGTTAGGTGCAACGTGCTACAGCAACAGTAGCAACCTCGCATGTGTGTCAACGTATGGCGGTTTCACCCGCTGTGCAGCGTCGCAGTTCTTCTCTGGCGTGATTTGCAATTGTAAAGTTCCGCGTGTGAATTTAGGCTATGCCGCCCTTTTCGCCACATCTATACAATGGTCATACGCTATATATAGTGTTTATGTGGGTTGCCTAACAAAAAGTGAAAAGATAGTGGAAAACTAAGAAAGGGTCTTTATAAATGGTGTGCTAACCGCAGACTATTAAACTTGTAAGGGGCCTAGATAATTAGCCTGTGTGGATTAAGGGGTGTTGAGAGATACATTAATATATCGAACATCTGAGTTAGAATCTCTAGAATCTCTAACAGAAATTATTTCGCGTTATTTATCAATTTATCTATATATTTTGTGAAAACTTAATTGTTTATCGTGAATGAGCCACTATATAATATTATATTATTACTATATATGGAATATTATGTTTAGTAGCTATATCGTGAGAATTGAACGCGATACATCGACGAAGTAAAGCAGCGATTGAATGAATTACTACATATGATATGAAATATTATGTTTGGTAGCTATCGTCAGAATTGAACGCGCAAGGTCTACGACGTGAAACAACATTGAGTTCTATCCTCCGGCTCTCTCCTCCGGTTAAAAATCGCGCTACTCACAACACGCTCGCCCTTCTCGCTCTCTATCTCACGACAATGCTCGTTTCTCGGGTGGTCGGCTCGCGCAGGCTGGGTGGACGACCTTCCGAGCTTTCAGAATCTGCACACGCTCAACATGTCCGACAACGACCTGTACACGTTCCCCAGCGCCATCTGCCAGTGTACGCCGCTACAGGAACTCAACATCTCCGGTAACAAGATCGAGGAGATTCCGCCCATCATCGCCGAGCTGAGCAAGTAAGTGCGTGCGCGCGTGCGTCCGTGCGTGTGTGTGTGTGTGTGTGTGTGTGCGCAGGCGTATAAATGTGTGTGCGCTTCGATGTACGTATGCGTGGCGTGCGTGTCATAAACGGGGTGTGCATGGTGTCTGTAGTGTGTGTGGTGGGCGTGTGTGTGGCGATGTGGTGTGGTTGGTGGTAAGTGCTGTCCAGCTATCTGTCTAAAGTCTGCGCCTCGAACAGCAGGGTGCTGTGTGTGTGTGTGTTTGGTGCGCTGCGCGGCTCTGGAGAAGCGCGCCGCACAGACTGCGGTTCGCGTGTCGACGTCCATGTAGTAGTCTCCTTGTGCCACCCAGTTCCGCGTCTTCGCCGTGCTAGCTCCCCATGTGGCCGGTAGAGTTTAGCGGGATCGTCTCTCGTCCGCGACTTATCCATGCTCGTAAGGTTTTACCCGTCTAGCTACGCGATTTACGTGGCGCGTTGTAACTCGCACGTACATGTTTCCACAGAGGCGCGCCGCTCTCTCCCTGCGTTGCAGTGACGGTAAAGAGATGGATCGTACGAGTGTCGTCACGCAAATAGGACAGATTTAGTATAGTTAGGAAGACTCAGAATAGGTTTGTAGGTAGGAGCCCAACAGCAGTACGCGACCATCGCGTCGTAGTACTTACACCTAGCCACGACTCAGCTTGTATAAACCGCCCCCGTGCTGTG